AAACGGCACCAAATCCCAAGTATTATTAGAAATAAGAGCATTAAATTCCCCAACCATTGCCTCACGCCATTTTAACTGTTTATTAGCCTCCGAAAAACAAGTAGGATCAGCTGATAAAGCAACCGTGTTTAAATTAAAAATCGTTTTTGGTTTAAAAATTCCCGACTTCGCCCTGGTCTGCATGGGGTGAGTATTGGTTAAGGGACCAGAGGTAACTTGCGGTGGAGGGGAAGAGTCGGGGAGGGCAGTGCCGGAATGTTCGGTTGGCGATGTGACAGATACGGCCGGTGTGGGGAAATAGTCAGCCGGAGACGAAGGTGGTATGGGATCGTGGATGGGTGACTGAGGTAGAGATTCTGGAGTTAGGACAGGTGGTGGGGAACCTTCGGCTAGGGGGTAGGTGGTTCGGTTATGGCTGGAACGTGTATGGGAGTAGTGGTCGGACTATGAGGAGTGGGGTTGGTGTGTGTGAGAGTAAAGTCAGTAATGAGAGGATTATATTCAGAGGATTGAGGACCCGTATAGGAAGACAATGTGGCATAAGGAAAAATATTTTCAAGAAAGCGAACATGCCGACTGATATAAACTTTACCAGACTTGGGATCCAAACAACGGTATCCTTTAAACCCGGATGCATAGCCAAGAAAAACACATTGTATAGAACGAGGAGAAAGTTTATTTGAAGATGAGGCCGAAAAATTGGGATAACAAGCGCACCCAAAAACACGTAATAAAGTATAATCAGGAGGTTTTTGAAAAAGAATATCATATGGAGAAACACCAAACAAATTAGGAGTGGGAAGTCTGTTAATAATATATGTAGCTGTAAAAATAGCATCTACCCCAAAGGTGCTAGGAATAGAGGTTGTGAGAAGCATAGTCCTAGCAAATTCTAAAATATGACGATGTTTGCGTTCAACAACACCGTTTTGTTGAGGAGTATGAGGGCATGATTTTCGAAAATAGATGCCATTTTGACATTTTCAGAGAAACAATTGTGCATATGAGAATTAACAAACTCACCCCCTCCATCACTTTGAAAAATTTTAATTTTAGAGTTAAATAAATTTTCAACTAAAAGTTTAAAAATACGAAACTGATGAAAAACTTCATTTTTGGTGCGCAAGGGATACACCCAAGTAAAACGAGAAAAATCATCAATAAAGCACACATAATATTTAAATCCTAAATTAGATATAACAGGAGATTGCCACACATCAGAATGAATTATTTGTAAAGGAGTAGTACGACTAGCATCCGAAAAAGGTAACCGTTGGGACTTACCCAAACGGCATGAAATACAATCATGTTCAAAATTGGAGGAACTAGAAATAAGTTTTCTACTACGCAAAATACGTAAAACAGATTCGCCACAATGCCCTAATCTACGGTGCCACACAGGGCCAGAAGAAGAAATAGTAGCTAAAGCTAAAGGTGCAGACGGGCTAACACTGACAGGATAGAGATGACCATTATGACGCGCCTGAAGAAGAACAACCCCCGAAGTTTTGTCCTTAACAAAAAAATAATTTTTGTCAAAAATAGCAACACAGTTGTTATCAGCACATAATTTTTGAATGGAAATTAGATTAAATTTAAGTCGAGGCACATGAAAAACGGATTTTAATGACAATGGGCGACTAAGAGTATTAAATCTAATATTTCCAATATTAGCAATAGGAAGAGTAGTACCATTCGCTGCACTAACAGTCATGGAGCCATTGTAAGGGGATTTATTTGACAAAATACCTTCAGACGACGTCATGTGAGCGGAAGCACCGGAGTCCGGATACCACAGAGCATCATTGGATTCCCCACTAAGAGCAACCAAAGCAGGCGCAGAAGCCGGAGTAAAATGAGACGGGCAGTGTAATGCAGAGTGACCTGCAGAGAAACAAATTTGACACACAACAGGGGAAGGAACAAAGCCAAGAATACCCTCAGCTGATGGGAAACCTGCATAATGAAAGTGAGTACCAGAAGTTGATTTAGCATTAATATTTAAAATGGACATGACAGAATTACCCGCTGAAGCATTGTGTGTACTCGAGGTGGAAGCACCCCCTGCGACCGAAGATCCAGGGACTGTCGGCAGCCGTGGAACGCCGGTGGCCGGCTGATAAAACTGCTGGTGCTGTCCGTGACCCCTGCCGCGGCCTCCTATGCCGCGGCCTCCTATGCCGCGGTATGCGTGCTGTTGAGCAGGTGGGGCCTGCTGTCCGGGACCGGCTTGCGCACTGAAGACTTGCTGCAAATTAGAGGATTCCTGATGGCGCTGATGAAGAACGCGTTGTTCCACTTCAAGTAGTCTATTGTGGAGAATGTCAGGTGGAAATTCATCCGGGAACAGGGAGATAGTACCCACAACAGACTCATACTCATGGCCCAATCCATACAAAGTACTTTGCAGTAATTCTTTATTAGTCACAGGGGAATTTATTGCAGCTAACGTATCAGCCAAATTCTTAATATCAAGTAAGTATTATTCCATAGATTGAGTATCCTTCTTTTTAATGGAATTCAAGGTACGCTTAAGTTCCATGGCTCTAGGTAAACTAGCAAACATAAAACGTGTTTGCAAACGATTCCATATACCAACTGAATGTTTGATATCATGCACATCAGTTAATACATTCAGAGCTAGTAAGAGTAGCAAACAACCAAGATCGAATTGTTTGATCTACCCTAAGCCAATGATAATAGTCTGTATTAATGATTTGCTGATTATTAAAATTCACTGTGTACATGGGAGGTACCTGAATGGATCCATCAACGATGCCAAAAAGTCCCTGAGACACCAAAAAGGATTCAAATTGAGTGCGCCAGGTGAGATAATCTTCAACAGCTTTCAGTTTGATTGTGACAATTTGACTGACATTGGCGAGACCGTGAGATATAGACTGCGCCAATAAGGTCATAGAGGACCCACAAAAAATGTTGTCATGGGCTGGCCGTGTGATACCCGATGATCCAGCGAAAGACAGCCCAAAGAAGGGAGTTGGGGTCGGCGGTGTGGACTGAGAAACCACCGTAGGAACTGTCTGGGGCCAATTAAATTGCTGCGGGAGGCCATTGAAGAGAGGAAACGGGTGTGGAGGCATCCAAAGAGAAGAAGACAGATCTGGCCGTGGAGTAGAGAAGGTCGGCGGCATCGTTGGAGGCTGAAGAGCGCCGGAGTAGTACGCACTCGAGAGAACTGGAGCAGAAAGAGGAGGCGAGTCCATCGAGGAGGTGGGCGGAACCAGAGACTCAGGCCCAACGGAGGAGGAAACCGCCGTGACTGTAGATGTGGCGGCGGCGGTAGTCTCCATTGTAGGCTGCGGCAAAAGCAAGAAGGGAAGGAGGCAGCCGGAAAAAAAAAACCTAAGCTTTTGATACCATGTGAGATTTTGGGAAAATGTACTTCAATAGGAGTCCTGGACTGAATATATATAATAAAAGAGTTTGAGACATACAAGGAAACAAATATGCCTAAATAATATTGTATTAGTAGTTGAGGGTAACATTTCCTTTCAACTAGGGGACTCTCTAGTACTAAAGTACACCAGTGGCGAATCCAAAGGTAGTTAGATGTCCCCAATTCAAATATGATAAAAGCTTGATCATTAGAGTTATTATTTTAAATTTACTCCAAGACTGGTATTAAAATCTTGAGCCGTGGCAATTTATAATTTGAAACGTTTTTCATCTATTCAAAACGAAAATTAAGAATGAATTAGAGACACAAATGATATCAAATATGATATGTGATAATAATATAGAGACATCCAAAAATGGAAAAATGAGATAATTATAAAGGGATGAAGAGTTTTTTCCCAAAATACTGTTAAATAAATAAATATTTTCGAAGATAGTGTTGTGTTAAAAGTATGTCCCAAAATACTGTTAAATAAATAAATATTTTCGAAAATAGTGTTGTGTTAAAAGTATGTCATGGGTCCCACCACCAAATAAAATATCATGTTTTTTAAATTGATATAAATTTTTTATTTGTACTACGATTTTTATAAAAAATATATCAAAACTCATAACTTTTTATTATCTTTCATATGACACCTATATTGAATATATAAAAATAAAAAAATAATTTGACACTTAAAAAATCTACTTTTTAAAATGCTATATTTTTTTATTTGTATTCCGATTATTACAAAAATATATATCAAAATTCATATCTATGTTATTATCTTTCATATGAAATCAATATTCCATATATAAAATAAAAATATGTTTTGTTAATAATAAACGATCCTAAACTGCAAAAAATAATAGAATAACTTTTTGTTTTTATATATGCAACATTTATATCATATGCAGGATAATAAAGATTTAAGAATTTTGATATATTTTTTATAATAATCGGAGTACAAATAAGAAAGATATAACGCTTTAAAAAAAGTAGATATTTTGAAAGTGTTGAATTAACTTTTTTAGTTTTATATATTCAATATTGATGTCATATGAAAGATAATAAAAATTATGAATTTTGATATATTTTTTATATCGATCGGATTACAAATAAAAAAATATAACACTTTAAAAAGTAGATATATTTAAAGTGTCAAATTATTTTTTTATTTTTATATATTCAATGAAAGATAATAAAAATTTATGAATTTTGATATATCTTTTATAACAATTGGAGTACACATAAAAAAGTTATATCACTTTAAAAAACATTATTTTTATTTTTGATTTGGTGGTTGAACCCATGACTCATCTTCTCGTTCCTCGTGGCTTTGTACTTGCGTAAGTTTTTAAGCATATTAGCCGACCGTTCTTTAACTATGATTATTCCAGCAGTACTTTCCTAATTTTGCTTAAGCCACCAATTGAATTGACGATTCTCCTGGAAATACTTTTTTTTTTTTGAAAGACCGGAAATACTTTTAATCACACAAATACTTTTTTTATTTAACATTAATTTAGAAAAATACTCTCTATTTCTTTCCAAAAAAGTGCCCCTGATGTTCCGTTAAACTCCTTTTCCGTAGCTACAGAAGGGAAATGTTCGACCGTCATCTGTTCAGCTAGATTGCCGTTCTGAGTCCAGCGAAACCTCTTTGAAGTTTGAAGCCGCCTTCCACCACTTTCCACTCAGCAAATGTTCAGATCTCATCGCCTCCGGCGCTCTCTTAGCTATCTCCTCATCCACCCCCACCACCGTCACCATTTCAACTCAAACACCCCTCACATCAACCCGCGTTTCTTCAGCTCCCTCTCGTCTCAGCCTCCTTCTTCCGATGCCGAGCTCCGCAAGTATATCGGCTACACCGTGCTCCTCCTCGGCTGCGCCGCTGGAACCTACTACTCATTCCCATTCCCCGAGAACGCCAAGCACAAAAAGGCCCAGCTCTTCCGTTACGCCCCCTTGCCGGAGGATCTCCACACCGTCACCAATTGGAGCGGCACTCACGAGGTCCAGACTCGGGATTTCTTCCAGCCCGAATCCTTAGAAGAGCTGGAAGCTGTTGTGAAGGACTGTAACGAGAGGAAGCAGAAGGTGCGGCCTGTTGGCTCTGGTTTGTCCCCTAATGGAATCGGGTTGACAAGAGCTGGTATGGTGAATTTGGCATTGATGGATAAAGTTCTAGAAGTAGACAAGGAGAAGAAGAGGGTTACTGTGCAAGCCGGCATCAGGGTTCAACAGCTGGTAGATGAGATCAAGAAATATGGTCTTACTCTGCAGAATTTTGCATCTATAAGGGAGCAACAAATTGGTGGCATTGTTCAAGTGAGTTGTTATAATGCTTCCTGTTTAGTTGATCATGTTAATATTGATGAATTTGAACCAAATCTGTTCATTCTGCCACTCTAAGAAGAAGGTGCTGTGACTGCTGTATCGAGGAAGATGCAACTATAATGATAATAATGGTTTACTGCGAATATTTCCACTTCTTCATAAGATCTTAAATTACATGACTTGTAAAACACATATATTTCATTGAAGTGATTTAGAAACATCAGTAAATGTTTTGCGCAATAGGTTGGCGCCCATGGCACTGGTGCAAGGCTGCCGCCTATAGACGAGCAAGTTATTGGCATGAAATTGGTTACTCCTGCAAAGGGAACAATATATATTTCAAGAGATAAAGACCCAACACTCTTTTACCTAGCTCGATGTGGGCTGGGGGGTTTAGGAGTTGTTGCTGAGGTCACACTTCAGTGCATTGAACGCCATGAGCTTGTTGAGCACACTTTTCTTTCCGACATGAAAGATATCAAGAAAAATCACAAGTAGTTCTCCATTTTCTAGAGTTGGTGATCAGGTTTTGCATTTCCTTTTATTGCATTTGTATGTGAATGTGTGTGTATTTTGTATTTCTATCATTTATTTTCCTATCCCATGCCACAGCTTCACATTTTTATATGTAGTACTCACTACTCAGTATATATTAGCAATCCTATGTGAGCAAGTGTAAGTATTGGTACTTTCATATGGGCATATGGGATTCCATAACCCTTTGTTGGAAGAAAGTTTCTTTGTCACCTTGTGTGAGTTTCACATCTAGCTCCCATTTGGTAAGGGCCAGTTTGCCTAAAATTGCTAAAAGTGTAGCTATATTGATTATTGACAGGGGCGGATCTAGGAATTTGGATTGGGCTTGGCTGAAGAGTAATTATATTAGGCTTAAATATTAGCGGGGTAGGCTACATATGAAAACTGAAAAATTTAACACTTAAAAAGTTGAAAAAATTATGTTACTTTGTGCTTCAGCCTGCTATAGCACATGCATAGATCCTCCCCTGAATATTGATGAAGTTGTTGAATTTTATGAATTGTGGAAAAAATATTTAAAATATGTTTATTAAAAAATAAAGAAAATTGTATGTAAAAAGGATAGTATGATCACTAACAGAATTTCAACAACTTGGGCCGAAACAACCTCTAGCATTATTTGACTAACTTTGTCCATGCAGTTGAATCAAAAGGCGTTTGGTAAAAGAATCAGCTCATAAAGCAAAAAACTTTACTGCCTACCGCTAACGTAGTCTACTTTTAAAAAATACCTAAACATGAGGGCTGTTATGGACAGATAATTATGTTGGCATATGCATGTCCAGCTACATTGGTCACTATTCTTGCATTATATTGCGGGCTGCATTGTCATTTATTTCATCTGGAATGAAGAGCCTATCTGTAATGCAATACTGCTTGTATAGCTTATGTTGAAACAGTAAAGAACACGGTGTCAGTTTACTGCAGAAAATTGCTATCAGAGAACAAGCACGTGAAATATTTGCACATTCCATACACTGATGCTGTCGTCGTTGTAACTTGTAATCCTATATCAAAAAGGAAGGGTCCCCCAAAATATAAACCTCAGTATACTACAGAAGAAGCTACACAACATGTACGAGATCTGTACAAGGAGTCATTGAAGAAATATAGGTATAAGAGCTGTTCAGCAGTGTTAAAGATAATGCTACATCATTGAAAATACTATATTACTTTTCTTGCATTCTTATATCATTTACAGGGACAGACTGTTGTTTTCACTCTAGAAATTATAAGGCTCTAGAACACTAATACATAGTTTTTTTCTCTCGTTCTGATTACTTATGTTCTGTGTGCTAGTAGCGGTGTATGTGTTATGGGCGTGGTTGGGAGATGAACAGAAAAATGAAAAGCCATGTAATTGGAAATATAGCTCAAGTTCCTGCTCTAGGCAATAAAGTGTCTGTCTGTTCCACCGAACACACAAGAAAAATTATTACTCCAAAAGATTGATGACAGTATTATTGAATAGATCACATCTATTTATAGTTTATACTAGTCCTAAGAGTCTTGGTGGCCCAGTATTATGCTTACCTTCAACCTATGACAATACTTATGTCAGGAATATTATGTAAAATAGAATACCTGTACTTATTGGAATCTATTACTACAAATAATAACAATAATAATAGGAAGCTGATACTAATAAAGGAACTAATTAGCAACAGTAATAGTAATATTAAGCTTCTTCGGCGCGTATTACTGTGAATATAGGTTTATATGTGTTTGTGTGTGATTATATTCTTAGGCTCCAGTTGACTGCATTGAAAGTAGTGAAGCTGTGAAAATTGTTTTAACATTTCTGGGAAGTTAAGTTGTCTATGTTTAGAGTAGTGTTTGATACACGAAAACAAGAAGGATCAAACTGCTTCATGAATATGACATCTAGTTTTTAGAAGGGGGTGTTATTTTCCACAAAAGCTCAAAAAATCATGAAAGTATGTTCTTTAGGGTGTGTTTGGGAGTTAGTTTTTGGAGGAGAGGGGAAGGCATGTGAGGGAAATAAACCCTCCAATTTGTGTTTGGGAGTTTAAATAAAATCCCTCTAAACCCTCCAAAACTTGGGTTTTCTAATTCCCCTGATTTGAGGGTTTTCTAAGGTCTAGCTATGCAAATAACAGATTTATCCTCTGAAAATAATACCGCTTCCGCATAAAATTTTTATGAGATACTACTCGCTCCATTTCTCTGCCGTTGGAACCCTTCAAGTCCCAAAACCGACCTCTTTTGAATTTTGTAACTCCCTAACAAGAGGAGGGAATCCCTTCCCATCTCCCTTCCCTTCTCTCTACTCCCTCCCCTTCAAAGCCTTCCCCTTTGCTCACCCTCAAACTCCCAAACACACCTTTAGGAAAATATTTTCTGATTGCAAACACGGGATACATAAAGAAGACATTTTTATGTACCAATGCCGAAAAAACGCTTTTCAGGAAAGAAGCGGAACCTAAAATGTTTTGGTGTATTTTTCTAACGATACTTGTTTCACCCATACTCTGAAGTCTGAACAGCTGCATTGGTTATTTGCAGAGGTGTAGTACCAGCTGATAATATCAAACCTCCTCAGGATGAAAATGAAGCGGAGATAATTAATGAGCTCTCATTTACGGAATTGAGGGATAAACTACTTGCTTTGGACCCAGTGAACACGGATCATGTAAGGAAAGTTAATCTTGCAGAGGCAGAGTTTTGGAGAAAGTCAGAAGGGTACAGGGTAGGATGGATTGATGAAATTTTGGGCTTTGATTGTGGTGGTCATCAGTGGGTATCCGAAACTTGTTTTCCGGTGGGTACCCTTTCTAAACTAAGCATGAAAGACTTGGAATACATAGAGCAACTGAAGCAGCTTATAGAGAAAGAAAGAATACCTTCTCCTGCACCCATTGAGCAGAGATGGACAGCTCGCAGCAAGAGCCTCATGAGTCCAGCTTATAGCTCTGTTGATGATGATATTTTCTCATGGGTAACATGCATTTTAGCGTTTGTTCTTTATTGATTTTTGTATTTTTGCTTTTTAAAAAATTGTTTTTGACTTCTCTTCAATCCGAAATACTTGGCATTACTCGTATTATTTATCTCCCAAGTCCCAACAATGAATTCGTTAGTACTCCATACTAGTATTATTTTTACTTTTGCTTTTAAAAATTTGATGACTTCTCTCATCAATCCGAAATACTATCAGGTTGGCATAATCATGTATCTTCCAACAATGGATGTTCGTCAAAGAAAACAAATCACTGAGGAATTTTTCCACTACAGGCGTTTGACTCAAGCCAGCTTGTGGGACCAATATTCTGCATATGAACATTGGGCTAAAATTGAGGTGGTTAAAAATTTAGCATATTTTTTTGTTTGTTTATATGTTGTCGGGAGGGCAATTATTGATTGAGAGAATGAAATTCCCATCCTTGTGTTCTGATCCCCAGGTTCCTAAAGAAAATGAAGAGCTAAAAGCGCTACAAGAGAGACTAAGGAAGAGGTTCCCTGTGGAGGAATACAATAGAGCACGACAAGAGTTGGACCCAAATCACATTCTCTCTAATAATATGCTGGAAAAGCTGTTTCCTGCCTTCCCTTAGCCAGTGAGTGATGTATGCAGCCATCTTCCTATTGTGGTGCTAGTTTCTGTTTCTTATTCAATTAGAGATGCTAATCTTGTTGGTTTTGTGGCTTCAAGTCACGTTGCGTAATAGCACCCTATGTCCTACAAAATTATCCGTATATTACTTTGCTTAATCTTAGTACAATAATACATAAAATCATGACAAACATGACGAAGTCTGGTAGGTAAAATATCACCCAAGGAGAGTGTAGACATACTGACATAGCCAAAGATATAAAAACATGCAGTGCGAAAGACAGGTAGATTAGTTGATCTGTATATTTTTCCATAGTTAGCACTTAGCAGCAACCCAGAGTATGTCTGCCATACAAGTTATAACTCCAGTCAATTACATACATACATTTTAGCTGAACCCTCCTAGTTAACTAGTTCAGTTGTCAATTAAGCAAAGGCACAGTTATGTCTGAGTGAACAAAGAAGTAATAACTCATTGCTGCGTTAAACCCTTGAGCGTATAAACAAGATCGAAGTCAAGAATAGAATGGTTGATGACTTGCAAGGAGTGAACAATAACATGAACTTCATGATGATCAGAAATCATTCGACGAGTATTTCCCAGTTCAAGAGTAGTTGGACAGTATCTCCCCTACTGGGCGAGTATAATCAGAAGTACCACAGATGCCCCACCCAAAACTCGAATTCCCTCATTTACAAAAACACCCCAATGACCACCATAATAATCTAGAATGCCCAGGGTATCACTAACAATGAGGAAGTTGTCTCACGAGCTATTTGTAATAATATATATAATAATATAAAGCGCAAAGCTCCTGATACTACTACTAACTCAAATTGGAAAGGTGAAAATAATGGAGATGATGACTCCAATGAATAATATATATAATAATATAAAGTGCAAAGCTCCTGATACTACTACTAACTCAAATTGGAAAGGTGAAAATAATGGAGATGATGACTCCAATGATGATCAATTTGAAGATCTTTTGAAGGAAGTATGGTTGATTTCGTTAGAAAACCTTCATATTCTACTTCAAATTTCACCAAATTGTCCACTATGGTGAAATTATTGCATTTGAAAGTGAAGTATGAATGAAGCAATGTCATTGTCACAGAGCTGTAGACATTACTTCAAGAGATGTCGCTAGAGGGGAATACACTTCACGGCGCAACCTATGAGGCTATGAAGGTCTTGTGTTCCATGAGAATCGAGTGGAAGAAAATTCATGCATGCTCTAACTATTGTGCACTCTATCGAAATGATTATGAAAATTTTGATAAATGACCGACATGTCATTTTTCATGTAAAAAGAGAGAAAGAAGTACGATATCTTGTGAAACATACAAATCCAAAATTCCTACTAAAATTATGTGCTATTTTTCAACTATTCCGCGATTTAGAGGGTTATTCACAGGATTCCAAACATTTAAAGTCTGACAAGCTCAATGTTGAAAAAAGGCAAATACTTGCGTCATGTGTTTGATTCAACCTCAAATGAGACAAATTGACTTGAAATATACTGAACTTGGTAGAGAGGACAGTTAGAGACTTGTTCTATGCACAATGGTATGAATCCATATGGTACACTCAGTAGTCAACATCATTTGGTCAATCTTATGGGTAATTCACAAATTGCCTTCATGGTGGTGCATTAAACAAAACTGCTATCATGTTGTCTCTTTTTATCTCGAGACCGTAACAACCGAGTATTGACATTAACATGTGCCTTGCACCGCTTATTAATGATCTAATGCAATTTTGGAATTAAGGCGTTACATCATATGACATGCATACCAAATCATATTTTCAAATGTATGTTGTTGTATTGCACTGATCAATGACTTTCCTTTCCTGTATACAGTAACCTTTCAAGCTACAAAGTTAAAGGCTACAACTCATTTGTGATTACCCCATTGCAAGAAAAATGTTTATATGAATCACCATAGGTTTTTCATCATATGCAGTTATTGTGCATTGTAGAAGGTGTATAATGAAAACACTGAACATGGGGTACCTCGTCCACTATTAAGTGGTCACGACATACATGATAAGGCGAAAGATTTGAACATAATCTTTGAAAAATACTATAAGCAAATGATGACACTAAAGTCGTGTACCTCAAAATAAATTCAATACTTGCACTCACTACAACAATTTTTTGTTTTATAGCATAAAATTATAGCATATGTGCCTTTAATGCTATAGATTTACGCCGTTAATCTTGATTATTACTCTGGAATAAAAAAATAGGCATCTAATAACAACAACAAAAGCACTATGGTTCGTAGACATGCGCGAAATAAGAAAAGGAACGACGCATTAGGTTTTTCGGTACATAGTAAATATTTAGGAAAATTTTATGGTGCCTTCTCAATAGGGTGTGTTGCGGTGCAACCTCCACGTGAGAAAAGAGTTTAGCATCGTTATTGTTTAATTAAATATGATAAATTGCAATCTAGTAGTCCCGATAAATGAAAGCATACACTACTAAGGACTTTTAGTTTACTACTCTAGTAATATACTACAAATTGCGATCATAATGTTCGATCAATATGTAACTGTGCATATTAAAATCAATTGTATCTTGTCTTGTACAAAAAAAAATCATACAAAATTAAATATACCAGGTCCAAAACGATTTTTAGTTTAGTTTTTTACCTTTATATCTTTTGCTAAAATAACTATAAAAGAAAAAAGATTGATTTTTTTTAGTTTTCCATTAATTAAATATACTCATATAATTATACATTTTGTGCCATTGATTATTTTATTTATTTTGAAACTAAATCACGTATTTTTATATATAAGCATTTTATCATGAATAATACTAAATAAAATTCAAATGACAAGAATATGACTTATTTTAAAAATTTCCGAAAAAAGTGACATATTCAGTGGCTAGTTCTCAGTGACTCTACCAGTGATTTGTCAAAAAAATGGCATAAATATTACTTCACAGCTTTTCTTGGACAAAAAAATAACCAAATTTCATGTGAACAAAAAAGAATAAAAATTCAATGTCGTCGTTTGTCAGGTTTATGTCTTCCTTCCCTGTGCTTAGGGATAGATGGACCCGATCCGATCCGGACTCGGTTCTGGACTTGGGACCGGCCAGTCCCGGTTTTGGAAAGTGAAGACCGGAACCGAACCGGGTTTCCACGGACCCGGTTCTGGTCCGGTCTACCCAGCCAGTCCCGGTCCGGTTCGGTCCCAATATTTAAAAAAAATATTGGAATTTTTTTTGGAAGCAGGTGGCTTATATTAATAAGAGAGAACGTAAGGAGGGTACAATCAGACAAAGAACACATAATCTGTCGTCTGCCCTTGAACCAGACTCTGAATCTGCCACCTCGAATGAAGCAACCAGAATCGTTGATCCCAAATTGGGCTTACATGAGCCAATGACTAGCAAACTAAGTTCCTCATCACCTGTCCTAGGTTCAACAGTGTTGACAAAATTAAAAGTAAAAACAAAAAGAAACACTCGATGTCCATCGCACAAAACAATAAAAATAAAAGCAAGTCTAAAAGTAGCATCAACTTTGAATTTCCACATGAACCATAGCTTCACTGGTTTTGGCGGGTCTGGGTACTCCAGCCCGCCTCCTCCCTGTTTTTTGATCCTTCCAGGACCATGACATCCTCTTCTGTTTGATCCAGCTCATGTTCATGTGCTTCCCATGTCCGTCTCCTCTTTTGCTCACCTGAACCTCCCATGTCGGTCTTTGATTCATCCCCAACCTCCTGATCTTGGATTCTTATATGGTGCTGCCTGCCCTGGTTATCGATGGAATTTGTTTGCAGCCCTATACGGTCTCTCCCTATTCCTTTCTCGCCTACAAGCCATTTGTTTCCTATAGGCGGACGAGCTCTTCCCACCCCTGCCCTCAGCCACGGGCCAAAATGTCTCACAGCCACTGGATCACCCTTGTCATACAGAGACGGACAAAATTTTTCAGCGTGTCCAATGACTCCACAGGCAAAGCAGAAACTGGGGAGTTTCTCATACTTGAAATCTACCCAATAGTCCCCCCCCCTTCCTCTTTTCAATGTCGTACCTACCTTCAGAGGTTTCTTCACATCCAGTATAACCCTAATCCTCATATAGGCTTCCCACTTATCATCAAATTGCTTATCATCCCAAGATATGAATTTCCCCAAATAGTTCCCGATTTTACGAGCATATCCCAAATTTGAAAAACCATAAGGTATGTTATGAACCTGAACCCAAAGTTCAGCCGTATCTAAAGAGATTTTTGGAGACATATCACCCTGCTTAATAGCTTTTAGCACTAGCAAATTCTGGTCAAACAGCCAGGGTCCATTATCCAATACACGATTCATATCAATTCTGTGGTAAAAAGTGAATAGATACCTCTTCTCACCAATTTTCTGAATCAGAACGTCTTTACCAGGACGCCAAAGAGACGCCATCAGATCATGAAAAATTTGAAACTTCACCACTTTGTCTGTGAGGATTGTGCCGACCACTGGAAAAACCTCCGCCTCCTTGCTCGCCGCTTCGTGTTTGCCTTCGTCGCTCTCCTCATCGTCCAACAACAGTTCGTTCTCTGTGTTCTCCAATCCCAACCCCTCGTATTGATCAGTCAGCCTCTCCACACTCTTCTCGCCGAAATCCGCCGCAGCCTCCCCAATCGCCGTCGAGGGTTCCCCCTCCTTGCCGATGATCCCCTTTGCGGTCTGTGGCTTGGTTCTATCACTCCCCTGGACTCTCGTTTGCTTACCTGCGTACCATGGTGATGTGGGCGAAGTCATCTCGCCGCTACGTAGCCACACTCCTTCTGCGAAAGCTCTCAAAACCCTACGAGAGGGAAGACCGCTTCTCTAAAAAAATATTGGAAAATTAAAAATGATGTATATTTATTATAAACACTACATTTTCACTTGTATCAATATCACATTTGAAAATTACAATTGAGAATACTTTAAAATTGAAAATTACAATACATGAACTAAATAATTATATAAATATAATTATAATATGAGATGAAAGTGTAAATGTAAATAGAGTACAATTAGTGATTGAAAAATTGAGAATTGAGAGTAGAATGTGAGTAGAGTTAGAATAGTGTGAAAAAATGTATAAAATGAGTAGGTATTTATAGGGAAAAAAATTGGTAACCCCCACCCCACCCCAAACCCCTCCCCAACGGCTATAATGCCGTTACTAGCCGTTCCAAACGGCTAGTTTCACCCCAGCCCCACCCCAGCCCCCTTATTTAATAAAAAAACAATCATCCGTTTGGACCGAAATCGGGACCGCCCGGTCCAGTCCCCAAAAACGCGACTCAGGACCGAGTCCTTATTTACCCGGTTGGGTACCCGGTCCCAGACCGGAACCGGAAAAGCGGAACCGGAAAACCGGACCCGATCCGGTCCCGCACAGTAGCGGACTCGGTTCCGGACCGGTCCAAGACCGCCGATCTGTGCCTCCACCAGATCTTCATCTTCCTTTCCCAGATCGGCGTCTCCGGTCTTGTTGCTCCGCCGAAGGTAGCCATACTTCGTCGCCTCCACCAACACGCCGACGGTGCTCTCGACCACAGCCATCAGGTGTGTTATCGCCTCCATCACGATTCTCATCTTCTCCTTTCTTCTTCACGCTCATTGTGAAGGCTATGGCTACGGTTTGGGGATGGCGGCGGCTACAGTTCACTATGTTGCTAGAAAAAGTCGCAGGATAATTCTCCAGCGACACAATGACACGATTCACGGTGACGGTGACGTCCGCTAGTAACATGAAATTCTATGGTGTCACTGACGAGACGGTTGGTCACTAAGGCATGACAAGTCACTGACGGTGGTGGCTGGTAATGGTGTAAATTTTCACTAGAAAAGGTTGCCTCGAAATTTTTCGGCAATGGTAGTAACATGTTTCACAGTAAAAGTGGCATTTAAAAGTGACATATAATTTGGTAGTGACAAAAAAAATTGTTAGTAACATAAAAATCTGGCAGTAATGTCTTGTGTTTTCAAATATGTGACTTTCTTAGTCACATTTTAATCCTTTTATAAAAATGGTCGCATTTTTGAAAATTTGCTGATTCAAGAATAACCTCACCAATTTCAAAGAATCAAACTGATTCAACTAACTTCCGTGTTACTAAATACGCTCTTAAAGTAATTTTCTTAACTTATTAACCGCCACAAAGTTGATACTTCAACAGTTCAACAACAAAACTTAACAAAAAAGAACTCAAAATCACGTTGAACAAAAATGGTTTGGTACATATTTCCATTTGAAAATGGAATTTACGCCCTATTTTGGAAAGAAAAATGAGAAGAAATTAGTGGAAAATAAAAGTGAACGAATTTAAAATGAAGTACAAAGTAAAGACGTTTAAAAAAAGGATGTAATTTAGTACAGGTAGAAAACAAAGATATTAAAATGTGAGCACTAATATGTAAATGGATAAAAATTACGGAGTAATACGGAGCATAAAAGAAAGGAGAAGAAAGATGTTAATGAAGTTGATAGTGCTTGATTAAATGACACCGGAACATCACAAAATGTGAATGCACCATTGAGCTGCCCAAATATTTAACCTTTGAACCTCATCTCTTTTATTTTAACCGCTTTTCCTTCCCCGATGTCGCTCGAACGCAAGCTACCGTTCGGTTCTTAATAGGTGTTTCTCAGCCCTGCCATTACAGCGGCTATCGAGCAAGGATCCATCACCGTTTCATCTTCGTAAGTAATTACCATGTCTTCTATACTCTATCTTCTGGAGTACCAATTTCGATTGAGATTTTTTTCCTTCTTTTCGATTTGATTTAGGTATTTAGATTATACTTTCAATTTCAGTATCTATCCGAACTCAATTTGAACTCAATTTGAGTTCGGCATTCTCTATGGCGATCAAATCCAGGCCTCCACTATTTTTTAATCAATTTTCAATAAAGGACCTTTAAACTCTTTTCACCACTAACTTTCATCTTCAATTTCATTTTGCAGGGTATCGTAAGTTCATTTGTGAATTTTTCCCTTACTTTGATTTCAAAGCTTTGGTTTATTTTGATTGTTTTAGTGCTTAGTATGAGTGAAATAGGGATTCATTTAATCTAATTTGCAACTTCGTTTTTCCATTTGAGTTTAACTTCACATGAATGATTTCCTATTTTCCTTTCATGTCTGGTTGAAATTTTGTATTGGTTCATTTTATTAGGAATTGCTGCAGTATTTATGTTTTGTAAATTGTTATCTTACTTTTATCTTCAACACTATTTTGAATTAGCTAGGTAGCAATTTGATATGTGCAAGATATAAGCAACACAAAGTCAATTAGTGCAGCCAATAGTTTTTACTAACTATGAATATTTTTTTTGCTGCACTAAATACTTCCACACTCAACAGACTATTATATTTTATTAAGAGATTACCATCAGTGATATAAAACAGCAACAATATGCTCTAAAAATAGTAGCTTAAAAGGATTAACTAGTTTCGTATTTTCACTTTTGATAGTACGTTAGTGGAAGGAGTTATTGAAGTGAATTATCATGATAATGTTGACCTGGTAGTATATTATTGTATGATAAAGTGATTAAAGATTAGTAAAAGGGAGTAACTAACTGAATATGTTATTTAGATCTAACTAATTCATTGGCTTGTTTATCCTTTCAAGTTAGTATGTAGCTGGATTTTGTTTTTTTACACGTCTTTTTGAATTCTGGTTTTGCTCAATCTGGCTACGAATATGGAAGCATATATATTTATAGTTTATAATCAAACTACTAATTCAGGATATTGATAATCTATCACAATTGCTACTCTACTTTTTACCCAATTAACAATTTAAATGTTTCTCAAGTTAAACCTTCCAACCGTTTGACCATCTGAACTTCAAAGTCAATTCATGTTTGATATTTTTGTTAACAATTGGCAATGATAAAGATTTAAGAAAAAATATAACTAATATTAATCTTGTTGTTCTAATGCTACTTCAACCTGGTGTAAAGCAATCGTCATTTTTTGTGATTCGATTTAGATTTTAGGATTCAACTCTCTATCTGAGTCTGATCGATTAAGATTTTGATTAAATTTTATTGAAGGGTCATAAAATCTCTTCCATAACACCTTCATTTTTGCAAGGGCACATCAGAAGACTTGTCAACTTTTTTCCAGGAGTTGATTGAAGAGCTTGTTTATTGCCTCAATCAGGTTGGTATGTTGACAATTTTAGTTATTTAGACCATCAAATAAAAACTTTGTTATACCATTAAATAAACTACTTAGAGTGTAACTAACAACTCATGTACTTAAAAACAAAATAAGTGGTTTAATGACTAAGTGACCTCTTTTGTGATTGTTTGTAATTAATGAGTATTAGATTTGGTTTAGTTTCATTTTCATATTAGAGAAATTGCTTCCACCAAGCATCATGCAAGAGATGATGGATAAAGATTGGGTGTGACTCCATGGGTAAGAATATTATCTTAGTTAATTAGTCCACTAGTACTAAAAATGTAGTTGTATAACTATATAGAATGTGCTTGTTCTTGCTATTCTGAAAATCATAGATCCACCCTCGATTACCAGCAAAAAAGCATTAAAGTTTGTGCATACGGCTGAAAGAAATCTGGGATTTCCTACAAAGATGTTCTGCCCTTGCAAAAGAGTGTCGTAATATGAGCCGTCAAGATGGGAGTACCATATTTGAACACTTGGTTACTAAGGGGATGGACCTTTCATACCGAATGAAGTCATGTTGGACTAAACATGGAGAAAAAAAGAAACTAATGAGAAGCTTGATTCTGAAACAGTTAGTGACGAGACTTATAATTTATTCCAAGTTGCCTACTTTACGGATGAAGGACTTTCCCAGGCAATACCTATCGATGAACCTACAAGTCGTAATAGTGATAATGAATTAATGAAGAAGCTCGAAGAAGCACAAACTCCTTTGTATCCAGGATGTGAAACATACACAAAGTTGTTAGCTATTATAGATCTTTATGGTCTTAAGGGCCGGAGTGGAATATCGAGTAAATCTTTTAATGAGCTATTAAGTATACTTCAGCGCATGTTGCCGAAGGAAAATGTTTTGCCAGATTCAGTTGCATCAATCAAGCGCTTCTTCAAGAGATTTAACATGGGGTATGAAAAGATTCATGCTTGTGTGAATGATTGTTGTCTCTTTAGAAAGGAGTATGCAGATTTGGATAATTGTCTGAAATGCGGCGCATCACGATGGAAGATAAATAAGCGTACAAACCAAATACGCAAAGGTGTTCCAGTTAAAGTTTTGAGATACTTTCCTGTTATTCCCAGATTCAAAAGGATGTTTAGGTCCTTTCAAATGGCTCAAGATTTAAGATGGCACTTTACTAATAAAAGCACTGATGGGAAGATGCGTCATCCTGCCGATTCTTTAGCTTGGGATGTAGTTAACAGTAAATGGCCCTCATTTGCAGTTGATCCACGCAATCTCAGGCTTGGACTTTCTACTGATGGTTTCAACCCATTCTCCATCTTAAGTTCTAAATATAGTTGTTGGCCAGTAATGCTTGTAAATTACAATCTGTCTCCTACGACGTGCATGAAAAAGGAGAATATTATGCTGACCTTATTGATTCCGGGTCCAAAGTAACCTGGAAACGATATAGATATCTATTTGCAACCACTAGTTGAAGATTTGCAATTGTTGTGGCAGAATGGTGTTGAGGCATATGATGCATTTACCGACTCAACTTTTAACTTGAAAGCAATGTTGTTGTGGACTATAAATGACTTCCCAGCATATGGGAATCTTGCTGGTTGTTCTACAAAAGGTAAAAAAGCATGCCCTATATGTGGGAAAAATACACATAACAGATGGTTACGCTTTAGCATGAAATTTGCATACATGGGTCACAGAAAGTTCCTAAAGCCTTCACATCCATACCGGAAAAAGAAAGCATGGTTTGATATTAGTGTGGAAAATGGCAGCAAGCCCCGAGTTCTTACTGGTCACAATATTTCAGAGGTATTAAAAGATTTTCCCAATAGCTTTGGAAAAGGTGGAGAGAAAAAAAGAAAGAGAAAGAGTAATGAATTTGATGGTGATGATGTGTTTGAAGATGAGACAAGTAACATCGATAATCAGAATGAGCTTAGCAGGTGGAAGAAAAGATCAATCTTCTTCTCTTTGCCATATTGGGAGGTTAACCTTCTCTTTTCCTTTATTTGATATTTTAAAATTCCTTTATTTGATATTTTAAAATATTGTTTTCATTTAGTTGTTATACTTACTAAGTATTTGTATATTCTTATTCTCAGGAACTTCTGCTACGTCATAACTTAGACGTAATGTATATAGAGAAAAACATTTGTGAGAGCCTTATAAGAACTCTATTGCACAATGCAAAATCAAAAGATGGCATTAATGCTCGTAAGGACTTGGAAGATATTGGGATTAGAAATGATTTACATCCAGAACAGCGTGGAACCAGAATGTACCTCCCACCAGCACCACCTACATTTTCAAAGTCTGAAAAGAAGAAATTTTGCAAGAGGATATATGATTTCAAAGGTCCTGATGGTTACTGCTCAAACATTGGAAATTGCATAGCACTGGAAGAGTGTAAAATTATGGGTCTTAAATCACATGATTACCATGTTCTAATGCAGCAGTTATTGGCGGTTTCTATAAGAGGGTTGTTACCAAAAGGATGTCAGAAAGCGATAATTCGCTTATCAAGATTCGTCAATACATTATGTCAACGTACAATTGATAGTGAAAAGCTGTTGGGCATTGAATATGAGATCAGTGAAATTTTGTGTCAACTTGAACGTTTTTTCCCACCATCATTTTTTGATATAATGATACATTTACCAATTCATCTGGCAAGAGAGGCACGCTTGTGTGGGCCTGTCCATTTTCGTTGGATGTATCCTTTAGAGAGGTTAGATTTTGGTTATTTCTTTTCAATTCTCACACTTGATTCCATTATGAAGGTATAATATGTGTTTATTTACTAGTTTTTATTCTTTTTAGGTACATGAAGGCACTGAAAAAATGTGTGAGGAATACTGCAAGACCTGAGGGGTGTATTGCAGAATCTTATCTGACCGAAGAGTGCATTGCCTTTTGTCGTGAGTTTCTGGAAGAATATTTACATGTCGAGGAAAATGAAGTTCATAATGTAGAATTTGAAAATGATACCATTCTCGAAGGACGTCATATATCCAAAACCACTGCAATCATATTTAGCGATAAAGAGAAAAATATTGCACATCGTTCAGTGATACTAAACACATCAATATTGGATCCATTTGTTCAACAAGTAAATTTCTATTCATGTACATATTTAGTATGTTTGTATATTTGGTATTTTTTTTTTAAAAATTATTGGTTTCTTTTATATTAGTATGCACTTAGAGGAGCTGCAATCAAAAGACAAACGACTTGAGAAAAATTAGACCATATTGTAGAATCAACATAATGAAAAAATTACAGATTGGATAAAAGATAAGGTAATATTGAAACTAATCATATTGGTTATATTCTTCTACGGATTGTATTAGTTAAATAGATATTGGGCATCTTACCAAAGATCTGGGAATCTCACAGAGATCAGAGAAGAAGTCAATGTTGAGTTGAAAAGGTTGAAAGAACTGGATGACCAAGCTATGGCTACAGTTGCAAGGGAGAATGTGTAAAAGAACATATTTGTAAACTATCAGTCAATAAAAACACATCTCTGCCTTTCTTATTGTAAGGCAATTACTCCCTATTTGTCTCTTGCTGTTTACTTTAATGCTTTCTTGTTTGATCTGATTTACTCTGTTTTTTTCTTGATTGTATCTCACACTTACTATTTTCCTATGCCAAGTTTTTGAAAGTTTAATGTTTTTGATTTACTTTAATGTTTTCTTGATTGTATCTTGTTTGATGAAAGTTTTTGAAACTTTATTTCTTTTATGGTGAAAGACACTTCTCTGGAAATAGTTAAAGGGTTTTGGCATCATCAAAAAGGGGGAAATTGTAAGGAATAATTGTAATTAGATTTTGATGATGTTATATTAATTAGGACTTTAGAGTACCCCGCTTTAGAAAATTTGTATTAGAAATTTTCCTTGTATAATGTTTTTCCTTGTGTAAGAACTCCAGACAAAAGATGGATTGGCCCTCTGGTGAACCTCTATCCTGACAGAAGACCTTCTGGTTCTCTGTTGGACCTCACCAGAACATGAGCAAAAGGTCCTCTGTTGGCCTCTATCTTGACAGAAGACCTAAGGACCCTCTGGTAGCTTTTATCCCAACAGAAGTGCTCGAAGCCCTCTCTGGTTGATCCTCTGCTATAGATACCAGAATGCCTGACACTCAGAGAATTTCCACGAATCTACCTTAGCCGGTGAAACCAACGGTAGATTCCCTCAACCGCTAGAAGACTTCAATGCAAAAGCACATTAAATGCACATTAAATGCACATTTAATGCATCCCGTACCCTCGAGAGTAAAAGCTGATGATTGGCCGACATTCCAGGATATTTCAGGATATATTTATCCAAAAATAGCAACTCGCCAACTTTACCGGGTCCTACTGGTCAAGTCAACTGTTTGCGCATTTAATGTAGTTGTCCTCCTCCTCCAACGGAAAGACAAGCCCAGTATAAAAGATACTACTCGAAGAACAACCGGATAACTTTTGCTCAATCTTTGCTCTACTCTTGCTCGAACAATATTCTCAAATATTCAAACGCACAAGCCTTCTTGAGATTCAAACTCCATTCATCAACAAGAAAGGCGGACGTTGGGAAGATTTCATTTTCACATCTTCACATTCCAACTAGAGCAAAACTTCCAACTGTTCTTCAACACTTCAAGCACCTCAACTACACATCATTTGTAACGAAGAAAGTTGGAAAACCCCTGTTCTGACAAGAAATCTTCTTTAAATAGAAGGACGTTCAAGTAACTTGAGTAGTGAAGTGGGGATACTTCAAGGAAGCTCAGTGAAAGAACCAGTCTTAAAGGAAGCAAGGAAGTGCATCTCAGGAGACATCTTGGCTTGAAGAAGACGTGGAGAGCTTCTTAAGTGCTAGGGCTAAGGCTTTGTAATTGGATTTTTACAAGCTTAGTGGAACAGTGGATTAGAGGAACGAGTTGTTCCTTGAACCACTATAAAAATCCCTGGTGTCATTTACTTACTGCTTTTATTTCTTGTATTTACTTTGAACTGTTTATATTCAGAGATTTGGTCTATGTGTTCAGCAGAACTCGTCCTGTGAGTTAACAGAAGGCCTATTGCCTTTGCTTCTCTTAGAGACTATCCGGACAGAACACCTACTAGAAGACTATCCGCTGCCAGTCTGTTCTGCCAACAGAACAGGTTATTCTGTTAAATCTGGTACTTAGCTTGAAAAGTTAAAAACCAGTACATTCTATTCACCCCCCCTCTAGACTGTACCCAGTACAACCGGGACCAACAGAATCACATGTGTATCCCTTGCTTGTAAGAAGGATATTTTACTTATAGTAGCTCCCCTTCCCATTCCTCTCAGTTGTCCAGGTCTATCCTTTCCTAATACTTGAGAAAGAGCATCTTCTCTTATATTAGTTGATGAGGATGAAGGCGTATCACTTTCAATTTCTTTCAGCTTATCCTGAAAGCAAAAAAGTGATTTATTTAATTTTTAATGTTTAAAACAAAAATATAGAAACGACTCAAAATATTAATAGAAATTTCTTTACAATGGTTTCGCCAACAGTTGAATTCACTGTTGTACCATCTTTTTTAGTGTGACATTTGATCCAAACTTTAACTCTTGATATAGTTGATGGATCAGCACTAGCTCTTTTCTATAACAATAAATGTAAAAAATAAATTTTAATAGAAAAAAATACACTTTTTCACAAAAAAAAAACATCACCAAACCATCAAGATTACCATATCAACATCCAGTCGACCATTCCTTTACGACTACAGGTATGTGGCATTTGTTAGTGCCTCATGGCCTTAAACTTATCACTTATGGCCTGAAATATTGAGCATTTGGCATTACAATGTTTCTATAAAAAGGTTGTAATAAAATTATTTTAAAAACATACCTTAAATGTTGGACTTGTTTTTATCTTTATAAATTTTTTCCAAGCTGCCAAAGATGATATGTTATCTGGCTTTAGCTTAAGTCTCTGTTCCTTTTTCTTTGTTGCTCGTATTTTGGAAACTAGCCGTGATTTTGAGGCCCGCCAAAGACATCCCATTGATTGAAACACATAGTGCTTTTGCCATTCTTCTTCTAATACAAACCTTGTTGCATTTTACATGCATGATAGTACTATTAGTTTAAGAACAGTATACTGAAGACACATGACATTCAAATTCAGTAAGTAAAGTGAAAGGATTAACCATGCAAAAATGTATACTGATTGTCCTTCTCTGGAAGGATTAAAAATGCAAAAATTTACAGATTGTATACTGAAGACACATGACATTCAATCGAAATAGTTAAGGACACCTTCATGAATGTCCTTCTCTGGAAGGATTTTATTGAGGTACCAAAACTCTGCTTCTTCCAGAGATCCACCATGCTTAACTCTTACATGACCATCTCTGTCTAAGAAGAGGTTCTGTTGTTGTGTGGGGGTCATTTTTTCTTTCATTTCTTCAAATTGATTCCTGTCAATTCTCTAAGATCCACCCAGTCTCCAATCAGTAAAGTTCAGGGCCTTCTTCTTCCCGGGAGCCTTCTTACGAGGAGATGGGGGTCTAGGAATGCCAGCTACCCTTTTCTTCTGAAAGGTAGCTTCATAGTATGGTGTAGGATCAATAGAAGTAGATGTGCTAGGGTTTCTGCTGGTTTGAGGCTTAGGAGGCTGAGAGTCCTCTTCTCTCCCCTTTTTGGCATCATTCAAGTCAGCTATCAACAGGCTGAGTTTCTGAAATTCAGATGCTTGATTGGAGGCTATGTGTTGAAGAGTTTCTCGGAGGGTCTGAGTAACAGATGTGAGACCCTCTATTAAGCCTTGTTCCTTCTGAATAGCTGATGCAATTTCCTTCTGTCCAGCTTCCAATAAGACCAGCTTCTGATATCTTTTCTTGTCTGTTTTGGTCAGTGATGAAGCTTGTTATTTATGATCTTTGCATAGAAACTGTAATTCCATAAATCTTTCAGAAGATTCATCAGCATTCCATTGTAGAATGTCGATGGCTTCAGATATCTGCTTGATGGGCTTATTCTGAGCGTTGAGTCTGAGAGTGGGAGTAAAGGACATAATTGATACCGTCCACTTCTCTTGAGACTGCATCTACTTTGGCATTTGAGGAGTCCATGAAAGAGGTCAAGGTTTGGGTTAGAGATGCAACCTTCTCAGAAATTTGCTGAATCCCAAACTCAAGGTTGATGTTGACATGAGTGAGATGCTCATAATGCTTGTCATTGATCAGGACGAGCTTATTCATCCCATCTAGCATCTGTCCACCAAACTCTTCTGCAGCTTGAACAAACTGGTTAAAGGGAATCTGTTGTTCAGCATTCTCAGAGGCAGGCATCCCCAGTCGTATAGCCTTAGGCATTGGAGGCCTTCTGGTCTGTTGTTCACTCTGGGGAGGGGTCTTCGTCTTCTTTGAAGTAGCCTTATTGGATTTGCTAATAATGAATCCATCATTGCTGGAAGCACCGATGCTTGATATGTCAATATGGACTTTGACATTGTCCTGAATTGGGTTGGAGGCAACATAGTGTTGAGGGGATAGTTGAGTGTTGGCAACTTTGGGTGATGATTTGTGTGGGGAAGGAGTTGGGGTTTTAGACTTCTGGTGGGAGTGGGTTTTCTGGTGAGAAGAGGTTTTCTGATGAGGGGAGCTCTGATGAGAAGGGGTTTTCTGTTGAGGGGTTTGTTGAAGGAGGGTTTTCTGTTGTTGGGGAGATGGAGGAGGTGAAGGAGATCTGTTCCTGGTGGGGGTTTGCTGTTTGCAAGGTGATGGAGATTTGGATTTCTGAGATGAGGTATTCTGTTTGGAGGGGGTTTTCTATTGTGGAGAAGTAGATTTTTGTTTAAGTGAGGATTGGGGTGGAGTGGTGTAAGGGGTGGTGATTTTGGTTGAAAGTTGTTGAGGGGGTGAGGAGGTATTCTCGTGAAGAGGTGATGTGGGTGGTGAGGAGAACGGGGGTTCGGTTGCAATTTGAGCAGAAGGGGAAGGGGAAATTACCTCAAGTACGGGTTCTTCCACCAGAGAAGCTTTCCATTCCTAGATTAGCTCCATCATAGTTAAGCCTTCTGTCTTGGGTACAGAGGATTCTCCAGGCATGAAATTGGGGTCAGTAGACTCTTTAGCTTTCTTCGCAAACAACCATACTTCAAAGTCATCAATTTTAGTGTCTGCCAGGGGCTTGGTATGCTCTTCAGAGGGAGTGGAGATGAGAACAACCTTTCCCTTGTAACTAGCCTTCTTTTTCTCAAGGACAGATGTAAGAAAATTAAGGGCAAACCATTTAGATACATCATCAGTACCTACCCAGTTGAGGACAACAGCTTCCTCTGACTCATAATGGTCAAAATACCAGATGATCTTCTGTAGTGGCCCCATCCCTCAGTTCCTCCAAGCTAGAACTCGCTCAAACTATTTGTTTAAGGCAACAATGTAGTCAGGCTGAGGGTTTCTGTCCGGTGATGCTTGGTGTTCTGGAGATGGTACAAGTACTTGATGTTCTGGTGCACTTGTAGATTGGGCAGAGTTTTCAGGTTCCCCCATGAGTGGTAGCATTCTTCACCATCGTCTCATCCTCAGAGTCGCTTGACTCAAATATAATCTTCTTCCCTTGTCAAAGTGGATTTTTGGACAGAATAGGTGATTCAGATTCTTCTAGTTCCCCCCTGAGCTTCTGG